CTCCCATACTCACCTCCAAACAACAATAAAATAGTTCCCACAAACAAGTCCTGGAACAGCAGAACCAGCAAAAAGACAGCGGAAACATTCTTTGAGCCCAAGAAACTTGGAAGATCAGCAAGAAAGGTCTGTCATTTGGGCAAAAGGGGAGTGTGGTTCAGGACAGGAAGCATCCAAGCAAGCCAAAAGCAAGCCCCACCTCAGCAAACCAGTGGGAGATCCTGAGCCTAAGTACAGTGGAGCAGGCAACCACCAACACCTGGACCCCTCACAGACTGGGGCAATGGCTGGGAAATGGGCAGACTTCAGCTGTGAGAACTACCACATGCTTTAGCATAGCCCCAAGCAAAGACGCAACTGCCAATGGCCAGACCTCCACATGCTTCAGGGTAGTCCCAGGCAAATAGATAAATGCCAACCCTATGGGTGCCTAAGGAAACAGGCAGCCACCAGCACTGCTCCTGCCATGTGCTTCAGAGTAACCCCTGGGAAACACAGGAACAGCCCACTGGCCTCAGCACATGGAAAACACCACCACTAAGACCCAGCTTAGCACCAGGTAAGCTGCTACACCCCTACATAAGCTCCAGCCATGCCTCACCCCATGCCCTAACAGCGCCAGACAGAAGGGTGCTGAGTGGGCCTCAGGGCAACATCAGAGCAATGCCAGGTAAACCGCCAGCACCTGCTGCCCTGGGCACAAGAAGTCTGAAAGAGTGCCCCTACCACTGGAAAGTAGAACTCAAAAGAAAGGAAAAAGGCCAACAAAGATGAGCATAAAACAAAAAAAAAACAAAAAAGAATCTGGTGATAGAAACTTATTATGGTGATGGGGAAGATCAAGACAAACTCAGAAGAAGACAACAATATCAAAATGCCTATGGACAAAACCCCAAAGAAAACAGGAAGTGGTGTCAAGCCCAGAAAGAACACATTGAAGTGCTCAAAAAGGAGCTTAAAAATCATATTAGAAAGGTAGAAGAAAAATGGGGAAAGATATGCAAAAGAATTATGAAAAAAAGAGCCAACAACTTGGAAAAAAACCAACTGATTAAAAAGTAGAATTGGCCAAATGGAAAAGGAGATACAAAGACCCACTGAAGAAAACAACTCCTTAAAGAGTACAATTGGCCAACCGGAAAAGAAAGTACAATAACTAATTGAGGGAAACAGCACTTTAAAAGTTAGAATTGGACAAGTAGAAGCTAACAACTCTATAAGACATCAAGAATCAATCAAACAAATTCAAAAGAATGAAAAAATGGAAGAAAATGTAAAATACCTCATGGGGAGAACAACTGACCTGGAAAAATAGATCCAGGAGAGATGATATCAGAATCATTGGGCTACCTGAAAATCATAATCAAAAGGAGGACCTGGACAGCATCTTTCAAGAAATTATCAAGGAAAACTGCCCTAACATCCTGGAGCCAGAAGCCAAAATAGGCATTGAAAGAATCCACTGATCACCCCAGGAAAGAAATCTCAAGATATATAATGTTCTCCAAGGAACATTATAGCCAAATTTTAGAACTATCAGATCAAGGAAAAAATACTACAAGTGACCAGAAAGAAACAATTCAAATATCAGGGAGCCACAATCAGGATTACACAGGACTTGGTAGCTGCAACATTAAAAGATTGGAGGTTATAGAACGTGATATTCCAGACGGTAAAAGAGCTAAGACTACAACCAAGAATCAGAAAAATTATTAAGGGGAAAAATGGTCATTCAATGAAATAGAAGGATTTCAAGCTTTCATAAGAAGAAGACCAGAATTAAACCAAAATTTTGACCTCCAATATCAATACCCAAGAGAAGCCTAAAAATGTAAAAAGAGAAAACATTAGTGCTAAAGTGTTTACATCCCTACATAGGAAGATGATACTTGTAATTCTTAAAAATTGTGTCACTAGTACAGCTAGAAGGAACATACATAGACAGAGGGTATGGGTATAAGAAAATGTGAGGAAATGACATAAAAAATTAAGGAATGAGAAAGAAGAGTACAATGGGTGCAGAAGGAAAGGAAATATAGAATGGGGTAATTTATTTCACATGAAGAGGCATTGAAAGACCTCATAAAGTGGAGGGGAAGATGGGAGAGTGGGTGATGGGCATCGCTTAAACTTTACTCTCATCAGTATTGGCTCAAACAGGGAATAATATACACAATCAGTTGAATAGAGAAATCTATATTTGTATAAAGATTATTTCCCATCTTTCTGCTTTCCTTCTAATCTTGGCATTTGTTTTCTTTGTACAAAAGCTTTTTAATTTAATATAATCAAACTTACCTATTTTACATTTTGTAATGTTCTCTATCTCTTGTTTGATCATGAATTCTTCCCCTCCCCATAAAACTATTTCTTGCTCTTCTAATTTGCTTATTGTGTCACCCTTTATGTCTAAATCATGCACCCATTTTGACTTGGTATACACTGTGAGATGTTGTTCTATACCTAGTTTGTGTCCTATTGTTTTCCAGTTTTCCCAGCAGTTTTTGTCAAATAGTGAGCTCTTATTCCAAAAGCTGGGTTCTTTGGGTTTATCAAACACTAGGTTACACTAGGTCGTTGATTATAGTGTCTTGTGTGCCTAATCTATTCCACTGATCCACCATTCTTATTTCTTAGCCAGTACCAGATTGTTTTGATGATTACTGCTTTAAAATATAGTTTGAGATCTGGTATGGCTAGGCAACATTCCTTTGTATTTTTTTTTTCATTAATTCCCTTGATATTCTTGATGTTTTGCTCTTCCAGATGAATTTTGCTGTTATTTTTTTCTAGCTCTGTCAAATAATTTTTGGTAGCTTGATTGTTATGGCACTAAATACATAAGTCAGTTTAGGCAGAATTGTCATTTTTATTATATTGCCTTGGCCTACTCATGAGCAATTGATATTTTTCCAGTTGTTTAGATCTGACTTTATTTGTGGGAAAAGTGTTTCATAATTGTCTTCATATAGTTCCTGGGTTTGTTTTGGCAGATAGACTCCCAAGTATTTTTTTATTGTTTACAATTATTTTAAATGTAATTTCTCTTTCTCTATCTTGCTGCTGGGCTTTGTTGGCCATAGAAAGAAATTAATTTTTAATCTATCTTTCCACTGCCCTTTATTGAATATAATTTTTACTGCTTTATGATCTGAAAAGAATACATTTAATATTTCTGCCTTTCTACATTTGATTTTGAGGTTTTTATGCCCTATTACATGTTCAATTTTCATGTAGGTACCATCTGCTACTGAGAAAAAGGTATATTTCTTTGTGTTCCCATTCATCTTTCTCCAAAGGTCTGATGTATCTAACTTTTCTAATATTCAATTTACCTCCTTAGTTTCTTTCTTGTTGATTTTTTGGTTGGATTCATCTAGTTCTGAGAGGAGAAAGTTGACATCCCCCACTAGTATAGTTTTGCTGTCTCTTTCTTCCTGTGACTCACTTAACTTCTTTAAGAATGTGGAAGCTTTACCACTTGGTGCATATGTTCTTAATATTGATATTGTTTCATTGTCTATGGTACCTTTTAGCAAGATGTAGTTTCCTTCCTTGTCTCTTTTAATTAGGTCTATTTTTGTTTTTATTTTGTCTGAGATCAGGATTGCTATCTCTGCTTTATAGTGTCTCTGATAAAGGCCTCATTTCTCAAATATTTAGAGAACTGAATCAAATTTGTAAGAATACAAGTCATTCTCCAATTTATAAATGGTCAAAGGATATGAATAGGCAGTTTTCAGATGAAGAAATCAAAGCTATCTATAAGCATATGAAGAAGTGCTCCAAATCACTATTAGAGAAATGCAAATTAAAACAATTCTGAGGTACCACCTCATATGTATCAAAATGGCTAATATGACCAAAAAAAGGAAAATTATAAATTTTGGAGAGAATGTGGGAAAATAGGACACTAATGCACTGTTGATGGAGTTGTAAATTAATCCAACCATTCTAGAGAACAATTTGGAGCTGTGTCCAAAAGGCAACCAAACTGTGAATACCCTTTGATTCAGCCATATCACTACTAGGTCTGTATCCCAAAGAGATCATTAAAAAGGGGAAAAGGACCTACATGTGCAAAAATATTCATAGCAGCCCTTTTCATGGTGGCAAAATGTTGGAAACTGAGGGGAATGCCCATCAGTTAGGGAATTACTGAACAGGTTGTGGTATATGAACGCATTGGAACACTATTGTGCAATAAGAAATGATGAACAGGCAAATTTCAGCAAAATTTGGAAAGACTTGTATGAACTGATGCAAAGCAAAATGGGCAGAACCAGGAAAACTTTGTACACAGCAATATTCTGTAATGATCAACTATTCTGTAATGATCAACTATCAGTTCTTGTCAGCAACACAATAATCCAAGACAAGTACAAAGGAAAATAAGAAGAGGGGAGGAGAGAGAGAGGGAGGGAAAGATTTGGAACTCAAAATCTTGTAAAAATTAATACTAAAAATTGCCTTGACATGTAATTGGGAAGAAAAATAAAATGCTATTAAAAAAGTAAAACCATGCTGGCATGGACTGCCTCTCTTTCTTCAGTATCTCAGTATTCTCTCAGAGGTGAGACCATCCCCCTAAATGGTCTCATACTCAAAACATTACTAAACTGAAAATACCTTTTGATATACAATATAATAGAGATTAAATAATTACCAGGTGTTGTTTCCAATTGGTTTTTTTTTTCAGTTATTTTGCCTACTTACTTAATGTTTGCTGAATTGAATTGAACCAGCTAGGCCTATTTCTCTTCTTCTGTCATGATGGGAAATAGAGAAGGACTAGAGGTTTCTCATGTCCATATAATAGCCCTTTAATAACTTTGTTATAATTATTCAGTTAGGATTAACCTCAGCATTTTCTTCTCCAGGCTAAAAAATTTCATTGCCTTCACCAAAAACAAATTATTCTCTTTTCCATTTATTGTTATACCAAATATTTCTGTTGTGATAAGGATAGTTTATAATGTAATTCTTCATTTATGCTACAGATACTTGGAACTGGAAAGCAGTGGTCATCGAAATGAAATCAGGTTGCATTACCATTCAGGCAGTAAGCAAACTCAAACAGAAGTGTTTCCTTACATTTTGGCTGATGATAAGTGGCACAGACTCTCCTTAGCCATTAGTGCTTCACATCTGATTTTACATGTGGATTGTAATAAGTAAGTGAAAATTGGTTCCGTAGAGTAATTGGGACATTGTAGAGTAAAAATGAGAACAAGTATGCTTAATTTTCTCTTTTTATTTTATGCAGAATTTATGAAAGAGTAGTGGAAAAACCATCCATGGATTTCCCTTTAGGCACAACATTTTGGCTAGGACAAAGGAATTATGCACATGGATACTTTAAGGTAAGATCTCACAGAAGAAAAAAAGTTAAATAAGTGTTTATGTAAATTCTTTCATTTTAGCAATTTACTCTCCCTTTTTTTTAGGAGAGGGAAACTTCTCTTTTTTATCATTTAAAAAATTGTATTTTATTTAGCCGATAAACTGTTTTTTTCATTGATGTGCTTAATGATCATCATTAATTGGACTCTTATGAGATAGCCAAGGAAAGAGATGGCAGATAATATGGCGTTCAATATGGCAAAAATGTTTTTTGAATATATTGATCTATTCATAATCAGCCTCACCTTCAACTTCTACTTTACCTTTGATGCTTCTTTTGTGATGTTAATATTTGTATAAGGCTTTTGTCACTCATTACTCTTGTTCTTGAAACTTAAAATGCTACATAATAACATATATCTGTACAAATCCACCAAGACATGAAAGTAGTCATAAATTTTCTAATGACCATTTAAAGGCATGAAATTTTAGAGTTGTCAGGCACTGACTAAATTGAGATCATCTAATCCACCAAAATTTTAAAACTATGGACCAGAGAGACTGTGACTTGTTTAAATTTACTCAAATACTTATAATAAACCAGGGACTATTGAATATGATGTGCCATATTATTAAGAATCCTAGGCAGAGTGAATGTTTTAAAAGGAAAACTAATGATGAATAAAAACTTAGACTCAAACCCAAGCACTGGGAAGAAAAACAATAATAACATTTCATTTCTGTAATTGAACCTATAAAAATTCGTAATTGTAATTTAAAGACTTTTTATTATGGCGATTAGATCAAATTGGGAAGATTATACATAAATACATATATGTATTGCATGTGTATATATACATATATATACATGCTTATATATATATATATATATATATATATATATATATATATGTTTCAATGTTTCAGTGACAAATCCATAGATACTGAAAATACTTTCTTGAGCATACCTTGGTGTTGTTACTGTAATTGATCTGCTGTTCTGAAATGTTTTGACCATGAATTTTATTATATGCCATTAAATTTTGTGTACTTCTGTATTGAAGATGATATAAATTTTACTTACCTAGTATATGTAGTCTACCAAGCATAGTGTTCACAAAATAAATAAAACTTACTTATAAAAACTAATCTCAAAATATATTAGACTTTGAACTTGAAAATAACTCAACAAAAATGGCAGTATCTATTGAAGGGAAATTGCATGTTTAAGTTTCAACAGGATTGACCAACCTAAATGTTCAAGGAGTTGCAAATCCCAACAGTGAAAAGAAATTAATAATAATACTGTATCCATGAACCAAAAAATTTGAGGCACACTGTATTTGACAATTGATAAGGCTGATAGTTTGATAGTTTTTAATTGATAGTTTTTTCTTAGTATTTCATGTATTCTATGAAGAACCTTGATGTACACAATTTGACAGATAAAATCATAAATACATATGTACATATATATTGCATATTTTTCATACACAGGGAATAATGCAAGATGTACAATTACTTGTCATGCCCCAGGGATTTATTACTCAGTGTCCAGATCTTAATCGCAGTAAGTCTATTAATTCTTGAACTCTGTAATGAAAGGTATGCTTCTTGTTTAATTTTGTCCTGAAATCATCTTTAAAACTGCTACCACATATTAGGTGTCAGCACAGACACCCAGATTGAATCTCTGGTAAACAGAATTTGATAAATGTAGTGTTTGTAATTCCAGCATGTCCAACTTGTAATGACTTCCATGGGCTTGTGCAGAAAATAATGGAGTTGCAAGACATTTTGGCCAAAACATCAGCTAAGGTAACATTTTTTCAGAAATAAAGATTGGTATTTAGAAAGCTTGAATTTCATTTGCAACCTCTGGTATTCCCACACAGAGCTTTCTTTAGAAGGAGACAGATTCTAAATGCTTACTTAAAGAAAAACATAAAAATCCAGATTCTAGCCATCTGATGAAAAAATAATTCAGTGAAACTCGAATTAAGCAGATTATTTGGTTATATTCTGCTTCTGAAATAGAATTCAAAATAATAAGTATTAAGATTTTCATTAAAAAGGGTTTCTCTGAGGAATACTTAGTTTAGAATTTTATAATTGAAAAGGCCCCTCAGTATACCTGCTATTGTTTGATGTAACTCTAAAAAAAAAGGTTTTTCTTGAAAAGAAGTGTTTTAGGTTTTTCAATAGCTGTAACAGTGAACATTCAACCCACTTTTGTGCCACAGCTATCCAATGCTGAACAGCGGATGAATAAATTGGATCACTGCTATTGTGAAAAGACCTGCACTATGAAGGGTACTACCTACCAAGAATCTGAATCCTGGACAGATGGCTGTAAGAACTGTACATGCATGGTATGGCTGTAATTTTAGTAGAATCTATTTATCTGAAAAACCTTTATTCTTTCTTTTAAAATTTATGAAGTCAATGTAATTGTAAAAATTTTAGGATACATTTCCTTAAGAATGCTACACCGCCATATCAAATCTAATGCACATTGTATCATTTTTTTTAAAATCACTTTCTATGTTATAAAAACAACTATAGCTTATAAAATGTTACTAAATCAAAGTTTTGGTGAATATTTGGAGTTGTCATTTTAAATAAAATTTTTTAGGTATTTCCCAAAATGATACCACCTTTAGGCTTTCCTATGGACTGTTTCATGCTTTTATCAATCTTCTGTAATTAGACTAAATGATATAGGATGTTATTAACTTAGTTGTTTAATGACTTGTCTCATAGAAAGAAATGATTACATGTAACTTAGTACTTTTTATGACTAAACAAATCTATTTTTTGTTACAAATCATAAAAATACTTAAAATCTCTTTATCATTTACATATATCTAATCTCTTGTTAATATGCATTATATTTGTATAAATATAAATGCATGTGTATTATATGCATATATATATATATATATACACACATATTTGTTGTTGTTGTTCACTCATTTCAGTCATGTCTGATTCTTTGTGACCCATTTGGGGTTTTATTGGCAAAGATACTAGAGTTAGTGGTTTACCATTTCCTTTTCCAGCTCATTTTACAAATGAGGAAACTGAAGCAAACAGGGTTAAATGACTTGCCCAGGGTCACACAGCAACTAAGTGGCTCAGGCCAGATTTGACTCAGGTCTTCCTGCCTCCAGGTCTGTCTCCCTAACCATTTGGCCACCTAGCTGCCCTACATATGTACATATATGTGTTTTATACAAATCCATATATTTGTATATAAATACATATATTTACATACAATACATATTTGTACATATATTAGAGAAAGAGATTAGATATCTCTTTATGATGTTCTGCTTGTCTCACATACATATATGTTACATATATATCTTTCTCTCAAATATATACATGTATAATGCAAAAGTAGGTATATATTAGAGAGAAAGACACTACATATATGTATATGAGGAAAAAAAATAAGTATTTATATATATAAACCTGATTCAGGGAGACAATTACCAAAATTTTATGCTGTTCAGGAGGAACAAGAGAATAGTTATATTTAAAATCTAATTCAATATATACTGAATAGTTTAATATTTAAGGATCAGATTAAATACACATGAAGACTGGGAAACTAGAATTTTTGTCCAACATTATTTGTGTTATTTTCTTCTTAGAATGGCACCATCCAGTGTGAAGCACTGGCCTGTTCATTTCCTGATTGTCCGTCTAAGTCGGCCCCTGCTTTTGTGGATGGCAAATGCTGTAAGGAATGCAAATGTGAGCATGATCTTTTACTAAGTACCTTCTCTGTCAAAAACAAGGGTTTGAAATTAGAAATATTCACACATCATTATCTAAATCTGGAGAAACTTCACAACTTCCCCAAAGGATGGAAATAAGAATACTACCTTCTGTACTTTGGGCTCTCAGCCCTGTTAACTCCAATTTTAAATTTTCTTGTCCTTATGACAAATGAGAAGAAATATGGTTTGGATGAATCATTTTTCTGAAGTTAAAGTTAAAGGTAAGATGTCTTGCACAGCACTAGAAGTAATTTAATTTCTTTTGTCATTTAAATCTCCAAATAGTTAAAGGATAGTACCCTTTATTATCTGCAGTAACCATGGTTCTGATGATTCAAAATGGCAGTTAATTCACTGATACATTAGTATGGGGTAAATGGTTTTAGGAGGTACCAGAGTACACTGGAGCCTTGGCTCTTACTTAGCAAAAAGGACCAGTATGGGGTACATTAGTATGGGGTAAATGGTTTTAGGAGGTACCAGAGTACACTGGAGCCTTGGCTCTTACTTAGCAAAAAGGACCAGTAAATTTCCTCACCACATAGCCGTCATAGTAGTCAACTCTACTTTTGGTATCAGGTTAGTGAACCATTTCTGGACAACCCTGAAAGAGATTAACTCATATGATTAATTGAGAGATGACTGGATAATATTCCTGTTTCTGGGATCATATAATTGGGTCACAGAACCATATCCCAAAGCTGGGTATTCAGACATAATCTAGTCAATCTTCCTCATTTTACAGATGAGAAAACTGAGTAAATAAGTACTTTTTACAATAATTTACATTTGTTAGAATTATACACTTTTGTGTTATAGTGCAGTATATTTTTTAGGGCTAAGTACTTATGATATAACAAAGCCTCTCTGACCTCTTTAAAAAGGTATAATTAATTTCAATTTAATTCAAATAAGAAAACTTTATGTGTCACTAGTTTGCTAAACATTCTGGTGGTTTCTGTGTGAGATGCAAAGTTCCTCCCCAGAAGGTAGGAACTCCAGGCCTGATATAATTCAAAGTGTACTGAATAGTTTAATATTTAAGGAGCAGACTAAACATACTTGAAGGCTGGGAAGCTGACATATTGGGAAATTTATATAATCTAGTAGGGAAATGTGCCACAGAGATATAACCATAATTGAGGAAAAAGAAGAATTAGTTTCAAATAGTACCTCTGACATATATTATTAGTTTTGTGACCTTGAGCAAGTCATTTAATCTCTTAGTGCCCCCAGGCAACTCTCTAATCTGTTAATCATAACTATACTTATACTACTGAGTTGACAAAAGTAGTCATTCAGTCAAGAAGCATTTATTAAGCACTTACTATATGCCAAGCAATATACTAAATGCAAAGGGTATAAAAGAAATCAAAAACAAACACTGTATTCAAAGAGTTCAATTTCTAATGAAGTATAAAGCATATAAATCATGATATAAAGTGTGTAAATGTCAATGTACCATATATACATATACATACTTCTATGTGTGTATATACATATATATACACATATACATATATACAGAGTAAAAAGGTATTCTTAAAAGAGAAAGCAGTAGCACATGGGGGGGAACCAGGAAATGCTTTCTGCAGATGGAATTTGAGCTGACTCTTGAAGGAAATCTTAGAAAACTAAGAGATAGAAGCAAGAGTATGTTTGTAAATATTTAAAAATTGATTTTCAAAAAATTGAAATGTTTTTCAGTTTAATCCAAGTTAATTACATTTTCTCCATCACTTTCTTAAAGTTCAGACTAATAGCAAAACAATAAATCAAGCCTTGGTTTATAGTATTTGCTGATTTGTGAGGTGTAAGTACATGCTCACACAGAAAATTTAATAGTCAGCATCCATGATCCAATATGAACTGACTTCATTACACCTTTGGGTGGAGATGAGGAAGAATATTGTCATGAGAGAGAGTCTGTGGAAAGGCACAGTAATGGGAAATGGAGCATTATATTTAAGGACCAGCAAGTAGATGGTGTAGTTAGATTGTAGAATCTATTCGCATTCAATAAAGTATAAAAAGACTGGAAAGATAGTAATGAACCAAGTTTTTTTTTTAAAAAAAACTTTAAATACTAAATATATAACATACAAATAAAATATATAATATATAAATGCTAAATATACTTTATATTTGGTCTTGGAAGTAATAGGGAACCTCTGGAGTTTATTGAGTGGATGGTGACATACTTGGACCTATGCTTTGGAAAAATCATATTGTACCTAGGAATAGGACAGATTAGAGTGGAGAAAGAGACAAATTAGAAGACTATTTTAATAGTCTAGGCAAGAAGTGATGAAGTCCTGAACTAAATGGGGCAGCTGTGTGAGTGGACAGAAGAAAATACATTCAATTGATGTTGTGAATTTTGAAGTGAAAAGATTTGGCAATGAACAAGATACAAGGGGTGAGTGAGAATATCCAGGATGACACCCAAGTTGCAAACTTGGATGACAAGGTGGATGGTGGCACACTCAACAGTAATAGAGAAGTCTGAAAGATGGAAAGATTTTGGGGAGAAGATAATGAGTTCTATTTTTGACATTTTGAGTTTGAGATGTCCATGGAAGATCCAACTTGAGATTCAAAAAGGCAATTAGTAATAGAGTACTGTAACTCAAGAGGTGACTAAGGCTGGATATATAGATTGGGATATCACTTCATAAAAATGATCATTGAGCTCACGGAAGTTAATGAGATCGACAAGTCATATAACACAGAGGGAAAAGAAGAGATCAGAGAAAAAGAAAAAAGAACCATGTATACAAAAATATTTATAGCAACTCATTTTGTGGTGGCAAAGAATTGGAAACTGAGGGAATGCCCATCATTGGGCATTAGCTGAACAAATTGTGGTATATGATTATTATGGAATAGTATTGTGCTATAAGAATGATTAAAAGGGTGGTTTCAGAAAAACCCTGGAAGATTTATATGAATTGATACAAAGTGAAGTGAGCTGAACCAGGAAAATATTTTACACAGTATGAGCAACATTGTAAAGATGATCAACTGCAAAAGATTTAATTACTCTGATCAATACAATGATCCACAAAAATTACAAAGGACTTGTGTGGCTATCGACCTCCATAGAGAGAATTGATGAACTGAGTACAGATTGATGCATATTTTTCCTTTTATTTTTCTTGCCTTTTTTTTTGCAACATGGCTAACATGGAAATATGTTTTACATGATTTCATTTGTATAGTGTGTATTGTGTTTTTTTTTTTGCTTTTTCAATAGGAGGAGGCAAAGGGAGGGAGAGAATTTAGAACTGAAAATAAAAATAAACAATTATAGAGGGAAAACAGAAGAGGGACCAAGACAAAGACTTCAAGAACACATTTGATTAGTGGATGTGATATGGATAATTCAGCAAAAGAGAGTGATAAAGAGTGGTCAGATAGATGGGAAAAAACCTGGAGAGAGCAGTGTACCAAAGACCTAGGGAGGAAAGAATATACAGGAAGATAAGTTGCTCAAATATGTTAAATGCTTCAGAAAAGTCAAGAAGCATAAGGTTTGGAAAGAGGCTAATGAATTCATTACTTCAGAAATCATTGAGACATTGGCATTTCAATTGAAGGTTGATGTCAGAAACCAGGTTGTAGAAGGTTTAGAAGAGATTGAAAGATGAAGTGGAGGCAACTAGTGTAGATGACATTCTCAAGGAATTTGGGGAATAATAAGGAATTCTCAAGGAATAAGGGGAAGAGAATGAGAAGAGCAAGTGCCACAGGTGATTTGAGAAGAGATAAGATTTAGAACAGCCTCCAAGGAAAGTTAGAAGAATAGAATTGATTCATTAATTAAGGAGAAATGACATAAGGAGAAAAAGCAGTTCTATATCTCTCCATTAACTAAATTGGTCCTTTTGCAACTTATTTTATATAGTTCAGGTATTAAATTCAGTGGGATTTTAGATCACTCACATTTTTTGAAGAGTGCAAAAAGAGGAGAATCATATAGGCATGATCTTAAAAGACATGATTCTAAGGGGGAGGATGAAGTAGGTCACCTAGGATTTAGTTCTTTCTTTCATTCCGACATTCCTTTGTATAGTGTTCTGTCAATATTTTGTTGATATCTTTTGTTTTTACATCATCTTAATTTGTGAAAAATATTGAGGCCATTTACTGAGAACTTCCTCTTCTCATCCATCTGACAACAACCCCAACGTTCTCCTCCCTTACTTTAGTCCAAGATGGTACTGCCAAGTCCACCTTTTCTACATGTAGTCCTTATCTCTTCCTTCCTATTTTCTCCAGCAGATTGCTCCCATTATCATTCCTACTTTCATGTTTTTCTAGCTATTGCCTCTTTTCTAGCTGCCTAAAACACATTCATATTTTTCCCACCTTCATTGGATAATTCCAGACCTCATCAGATGTTTCCATCCATACAAGCATAGCTCTTTTTCCTTTCTCAGCCAACAGATTCCTTGCAAATGCTCTGCATTCAGGGCTTCCACATATGCTTCTCTCACTCTTTTCTAAAGTCTGCAGTCTGACTTCTGATCTCATAGTCCAACTGAAATTGCTCTCTCTAAAGTTACCAGTGATATCTGAATTTTCAAATCCAACGGTTTTTTCTTAATTCTCATCCTACTTGACCTCTCATCATTGTTCATCACCTTTTCCTCCTGGATATTGTCTTTCCTGGATTTTCATGATAATACTTTGTCTGGTTCTTTTACTTGCATCATCATCCACCTACTCATCAGTCTCCTTTGCTGGACCTTCATTCATGTCACATCCACAGTATTGTACCCCAAGGCTCTGTCCCAGGGCCTTTTTGCTTTTCTCTTTACAGTTTCTCACTTGACAATCTCAATAGTTTCCATGGTTTTTCTTTTTTTCTTTAACATGAATGGGTGCCACATGTTGCCAAAAGATTTTTCTGCATAATTGATAGAATCATATGATTTTGATATTTATGTATATTACATATATACATATGCA